TCTATTCTATTCTATTCTATTCCATTCCATTCCATTCCATTCCATTCCATTCCATTCTACTGTATTTCTCACTCCACAACGTAAGTTAAGTTACAATAATTCACAGAACAGCAATATTTTTTTCTAATGCAGAGACTTAGGATAAACTTGCTATTATAAAACACAAGTGCTTTTGTGGAGGTCTATATGCATATTAATTATACTTTTCAAATGTCAGGTTTCTAGCTTAATTACCTCAGGAAAGAAGAAGATAAGATAAAGCTTTATCTTCACCTTTTTGAGATTTAATTTTCCATTTTCCGTTAGTTAAACTGTCAAAGCAACATACATGACTTTCAGATCTGAGTAACTGTCTAAGAAATTATAGAAAATACTTATGCTTTGAATACTGTTTAGCAAACACATTAGGATATAGACAAGCTGAATTTGTGTTTAAATTTATTAAGATAAATGTTATATGAACCTTCTCCTTCAGGATTGAAAACCATTCATTAAATGTGAAGCAGATATATTTTGTTGCAATAAAATCAAGATATAATTCATAAACAACATATCTATTGCTGTTTTAAATATTACTTTTGATCTGATACGTCTTAACTAATAAATTCTAGGGGACGTAACATTTTTGTTTTTATTTTATACATACTGTTTTTAGATTTTTTTTCACCCAGGTAACAATTCTATTAACACAGTCATAGAGAAGTTAATTTTATCTGTTGTGGTTTATTCTCCATTGTTAGTACATTATTGAATTTATTTGCTTCACTTTGTTTTTGTCCTTTTCCTTTTTTGCTGTTCACTGATTAAAGAAGGATTATAGATTGATTGCATAAGGGCTTTAAAATCTACTTCAAATAAATCAAGGTTGGCCATTCTACCGGGAGCTACTATATAGGAGGCCAGTCACCAGCTCACTTTTTCTCCCCATTGATTTATTTCATTGAAAAATGACCCCATCAATTGTACAAAGGCTGCCAATGAATGTGTAGGCTGATCCCAGTCTAAACAATGACCTTTACATTCATTATCAATCCACTTCTCAGGAGAGGGTAGGTTATTTATAAATGAACAATTAACTCTTCACCATTCATATTAATGAACCGATCTGGAAGCCAAGAAAGGAACTAGGAAACCATAGCAGCAGCAAATGTCTTTTTGCTGGAAACAGTGAATGTGAGGTATCAGAAGACTTGGAAAGGTTAAGAATTATATGTTGCTGTACAATAAATCTATTACCAGTAGGAGAAATCATTAGACTCTAATAATCAGAGGAAAACACAGCTCAAAAATACTGCATTGTTATCTATAATTTTCAGCCACACACAGTACTTACTGAGGACAATGGAATATCACCTACCTCAAACACGGAGAGATCCTTCCTCCTGTAGATCTCATTGGCTGGAGGATGAAACCAGCCACACTTCTTTCCATGCCTCAGTAAGATATTTTTACTTTTCATGTATTTAAGACAGAATTCACACAAGAAAAGCTTTGATAGTCTGTTGAGGTTTAAAATCAGAGTATCAGTATGAAATGCTTTGAACAAATTATATTCACCTGTTTCTTCCAGAGACAGAAAAGTAAAGATTAAAACAGATATTCTGCCATGTCTGGAATAAAACGAGCTGCTTACCCTGATAATAATCAAATACCCATTTAATCATATACAGCACAAAGGAATGCTACAACTGCACAACTCCCGAATAAATATTCCATTAGTGCGGTCCCTGCTGAACAAATATCGGTGTATACATTGTCAACCTGTGACTATCACTAAGTGTTGTATCTTATGATTCTTGATGAATGCATTTTATTTTTTCTTTATGTACACTGAGAGCACATGCACCAAAGACAAATTCCTTGTGACTCCAATCACACTTGGCCAATGAAGAATTCTATTCTATTCTAACGGATAGTAACAGAATTCATAATTTGATACCTATTGTTTTAGGAAGGCAGAATCAAGCTCATGTTTATTAAATTTTTTCAATGACATTAAATGAGCTAGAAATGAATGTTGTACATGGTTTTAGGAGCATAGTTTTACAGTACAGAATCCAACTTTCGCTTAGCCTTTGAATCTGAGATGTCTTGTAAATGGTAGCAGCTATATTCGAGATGGTACTGAATACGGCACTGTATGGATTACATTTCCTTTCCATTCTCTGAAAATGCATATATGGCACACCAATGTACAGGGATGGCTCTCTTACCTTGCGTATTCATGTGGATAAGGTGAGGAGTACCAAGTCTGGATCTCATATTTTCCAAATTCTATCACAGAAGGGTAACGTCCATTTACTTCTCCATCGTTTTTACAACCTATCTTCTATTAATGACAAAAAAATATGTACCAGTGTACAATGGCTATTCCTTTTCTCCTACTATATTTCACTCCCCCCCCCCCATGATTGTTTGCTACTAGAGATTAGGAGATACCTGGCTGCAGGTAGTGAGCTCAAAAATGGCAGTGGTCTCTCCAACAGAAACATGCAATCTCCTTGGATTGAGAGCAAATGTTTAGTCCAGCCAAATAGCTTAAGTACAGCTATGTAGCATGGCTACTTATACAGGTGGTCCTCTTCCTACGACCACAACGGAGAGTCCCAAATTTATGTGGCTAAGCAAGACAGTTGTTAAGTGAGCTGGGTCCCATTTATGACCTTTCTCGTCACAATTGCTAAAAACAGGTTACCCCCAGTTGTGTGCGGTGAAATCATGAGGGTGTGAAGAGAATTTGGCTTTCCCCGTTGACTTTCCCTGTTGGAAGCCAGCTGGGGGTATCATAAAGGGCAATGATGACATGACCCTGGAACAGCCATGAGTTATGACGCTCGTCATAAATACGAGCCGGTTGCCGAATGCCTGAATTTTAATCATGTGGCCATGAGGGAAGCTACAATGGTCATAAGTGAGAGAAACACTTTTTTCAGAGCCATTGTAACTTTGAACGGTCACTGAATTAGTGGTTATAAGTCGAGGATCACCTGCAAATAATGTTATCCCTTTTAAAAGTATCTAAGCTTCTTCTAATTTTCTTACTCAAGCTCAGGTCTGGAAAAAGGAAACTGAACTGAAAAATTAAGAAAATGAGTAGGATAGGAGTTCGTGGTTAGAAACAGTCAGGCTAATTTTAAGATGTGTGAACAAAAGTTGTTCTGGAGAAAGCAACTGCTGGAAAAGAAAAGGAAAAAAAAAAAAAAACCACTTAAAAATTGGGCATCGAGCATATCACCCCAAACTCATCGTCAACAAAATTCCCGTCAATGTTATATTACATAATTATATATCTTTCAACTTTACATTTCTAAAATCAGAATGCTGAAGGCCAACATTACCCTCTTCTAAGACATTTGAAAAATTATGTAGAATTACCTGGTTGTTTTAACAGATGAAATACACACCCAATGTTAAATTTCAAGGAGAGTCAAACAATTAAATTAAATTAAATACAATTACTACTCTGTTTACTAGAAGGTCATGCCCTCCGGCTTACCTCCATTGCTAGCTCCCGGGCCTGCTTAAACATGTTCAGATCTTCTTCTGTAACAAAGTTCTTGCTTCCCACCACAAACAGATCTGAATTTTCTTGTTTGATGCTTATTTTGATTTCTGTACCTGTTGTTTAAAATCAGCAGAGAATTTCTTCACCAACACGAGGGCAAAAAATTTGCCTTAAACTAACAAAACAGAACTCCTTTATCTCTTCCTAGACAGTTACTGCTTTCAAACCCTTGAATTTTCCACCGAGATAATACATCTTGTCAATTTTGAGTACCTTGACAATTTGAATAATCTGGGCAAATATTTTAAAGATGCTGCCAAGGTCTTTTTCAACGTCTGTTAAAATGCTTCTCGTTACACTTTTCACACTTCTACTCTAATTCTATATAATAAAAAATATGCATCACATTGTTGCATTAACCTAATCTTAAAAGAACATCAAAAGTAGATTAGAAATAGAGGAATAGATGGGGGTTCCCCCCCCCCATAAAGATATGTTTATAAATAAAAAAACCAGAAGGAATAAATTTCACAATCGTACAGATTCAGCGTTGTATAGCAGGGTAGCATTTTTCATGGGGGAAAAAAAAAAACACAATGGAGGAGAAGGAAGATGAAATGCCGAAAAGGAGGGCGGGAATCCTAACGATTATTGCCAAGGCAGGACCGTAAGCACAGAAAGGGCATCGAACGCAATGAAGCGGCTATACCGCTACGCAACCAGAAAAAGCGGCAGCCAGAGCAGGAAGCAATGCGAATGGGAAAGCCACAGCAGACACAGGACTGACAAAACGAGATGAGGTAACGTTAGTTGGGAAAGCGCTATTGGCAAGGTTAGTCGGCGTTAGTGACAAGATCGATGCTCGCTGCTTCGATGTCAGAGTGAAGTAAGAACAACCTTGGTGACAAAATAAGAACTTGGATCTGGAAGGGATGCAGGTTTTAATTGGGCACTTGGACCTGTTGCTTACCATCGTCCTGATCAGGCTTAATTCTTCCGTCTGCCAAGCTCCCCTTCCCTGGTGAGGGGATCCCCATCTGAGGGCTCACTTTATACTTTAATCTGCCTAGAACCACGGGCTTTTTAAGGACAGTTGTCCGCTCCAAGCCAGCAACTGCTTTGAAAGCATGTCCTCCAGACACAGCCCAACCAGTGGCGGTGGGAGGAGAAACCGGCCCACCGCTAATCTCTTCCTTTCCGCAGAAAGCAGGATTAGGCGCGGGCGCGGGAGAGCGCACTGCTTTGCGATGCCAACGCTTGGGAGGGGCATAACAGGGCTGCCCCTTTGGGCGCGACTGTCCCTGAGCAGCGTAAATGTGAGAAAGTCCATCGAAAAGCTGGCTGTGATTAGGTAGGCCGCTAAAGGAGAGCACGCTTGGCCGACCGGAGGAACTCTGGGGAGAACCAGAAGAGATGGAAGTGCCGGGCTTTTGTGACCTGGGGCTCTGACCAGAGGCGGGGGCCGGGGGCGGAAGTGAAGAAGGTTTTAGCTTTTGTGTGGTACCTGTAGCCAATACATGAGAAGTACAGGAGGGTTTCTGAGAGGCCATTTTCCTTGGACGATAATGCTTTGAAAAGTCAATTATTTCACCTCGTGATCTGCGACCATCGGGTGACGGTGTGAAAAACTTAGTGAGGCCATCAATGAGCCCCTGGGTTTTCTTGTTAACGTTAAGTGTAGCGGCAGGTATGTAGGTGGAGGTGATGGTGGTGATTTTGGTGGCGGTGGCACCAGGCCAGGTGAGGTCTGTAACAGCCAATCTGCTGCTTGAATCCTTCACAGATGCAGCATGACCAGATGAAGGTGTGGTACAGACTTTAGTCTTTTGACCCCTACCAGGTGACCCCCTTCCTGGGAATGCATTCTTGGATCCTTCTGCACTGGGAACAGACCTAGCAAAGAAAAATGAAGGAAAAGGAGAACGGTCAGAGCAGAGAAGCAACAGGCCATACCTGGGTATCCAGAGAATCAACTGTTCTGAGCCAGCCTTCACGGCAGTGAGAAACCGCTGACTCACAAGTAAAACAAAACCCATTTTTCTTAATAAAGACAAATAGTCTTTTTTCACGTTGGATAGACAAAACCAAAAATAATTAATAAGAGCCTTCTCCCCTGCTAAAACAGGGCTCTGTTCACATGAGAACTCAAGAAAAAAAGTCCTTGTCAACTCGTAAAACATTTCTATGTTGTTTTAGTAGTTGCCATTAAAAAGGGGGGGAGGGGTGTGAAAGGAAATCTGGAAGGGCAGCGCAGCAGTTTGAAATCGAAAGTACATTCCAACTCTTATCTTTAAAAGATTGTAACTAAAATACCAGAGCTTTTGCCGGCAAATATATTTAATTGGAGAACATAAATGATGACACCCAGCTTGTGAACGTGCTCAATTGGAGAATCTCATTTATGACACATCAAGGGAGGAGGGGGGAAACAGGGTCACAGGTGACTGTAAATTATGTATGCCGGAGTTGGCTTCATACAGGGCAGTGCCAGTATGTTGCCTCTAATAAATCCTTTGAAGTTTTTTGAAGTTTGGCTGAAGAATCATAATTTAATTAGGGCAATTTCTGGAATCTTGATACCTTCATTGAGTAAGCCATGCAGAAACTATTCCTGTTCACATCAGCTGAGGCAAATCCACTCCCTGTTATTTCCTAGCAGGGAGACTCGGTTGGCACCTCAAATATAGAGCAATTAGTCCCGATAAAACCTGGTTCTGGCAAAGGAATCCGACTTGACTGATGTACACTGGAAAACGAATGGTTGTCTGCGACAACAAGCCACTCTCAAAACCTTACTATTTATTTCCCAGCCAGGAAGAGGCTGGCTAGTGTCTACAACTTCTTTTTCCTGAGAGCTGGCTTATTGTTTTCCTTTGCTCTCCTCTCCTCTCTATCCATGTGCACATCTTGGATGGGCCCCATCTGTTCCTCCCCCTTCAGGTCCTGAAGACAGCTCTCTGAGGGTGGACAGAAGGCCCCGGCTCTACCTCTGCTTCCTCATCAGAGCCTTCCAAAGGCTCCAAAGCTGGTCCAGGATCCCCCTTCTCCTCCTCATCTGGCTCTGCTGCTAGCTCTGCCGGTCAGACGACAGGCTACAACATCAACCTGCTTTTCTCACAACAACAAAAAACAGGCCTAGGCTATAAGCTCACTCCTTTTGGGTGTTCAAAGCAGACCCACTTAAGGGGACCAGCTTCCACTGCCAGAGCACAGGTAGTCTTCAACCTGTGACCATTCAAGGTTACAACAGCACTGTCAAAAGCGGCACATGTGACTGTTTCTCATACTTAATGACCGTTGCAGCCTCTTCATGGTCACATGATCAAAATTTGGATGCTTGGCAGTTGGTGTGTGTTTATGACGGTTGCCGTCTCCCGGGGTCATGCGACTCCCCTTTTGCGATCTTCTGACAAGAAAAGTCAACAAGGAAAGCAGTGATGGGAGGTGCTGCCAGTTCGTGCTGGTTCTAGAAAACTGGTAGCTCCAGTGAGGAGTTGGCCCCACCCACCCGCCCCTGCTCTTTCCTGTTCCATCACCTTGTTTTTTTAGCTCAGCTGATTTGCACGGCATAGCGGATTGCCACACCTCAGCTGTTTTACTCACCAGCGATGACATGGAAGGTAAGTTTTTAAGCTTAAAATGGCTGGTTATTGAATGCTGCACCCGCACATAAACCGTGCATACGTGCGCGAACCACACACTCATAGAATTGGTTGTTAAACTGACTGCAATCCTCCACTGGAGGAAAGCTGGATTCCCTTAGGATGGTGTTACTAACTTAACAACTGCAGTGATTCGCTTACAAACTGTAGAAGAAAGGTGATAAAATGGGTCAAAACTCACTTAAGAACTGCCTTGCTTAACAACAGAAAGTTTGGGCTCAATTGTTGTTGTAAGGCAAGGACTACTGGTTCAATAATGTTTTTATCGTTCTACAGGTGCCACCTGCATGTAGACTTAAATCATGCACTTCAGTGTTTCTTAACCTTGGCAACTTTGAGATGGGTGGACTTCAACTCCCAGAATTCCCCAGCCAGTTTTGCTTCATTTATATACTCTGTTTCAATAAATGTCCTGGTAAAACCTTATTTTAAGATAGTCCCTGTTCTATTTCAGTACCAGAACCTGCCTAGTATTGTAGATAAAGCCCAATTTTATTTTTAAAACTGCTTGATTTTTATTTATTCTGATGATGATAATATTATGCAATAAACCTCAGTGTTGGAAGGAAATATTGTGAGACACCTCAGAGCTTTTGCATGAAATAGAAAATGCAAAGATTGTGAAGCTTTCTGTATGTTAAGGGTGTTACAGATCCACAAAGAGGTATAATGCACTTTTACCAAGTGTAAATGGAGAGTCACTTGCAAAAACACAAGATCCATTCCTTTCCTATATTTTCTACTGTTTCTTAAAATCAGGTAAGTGCTTTCCCAGAATTGCCATTAATCGTAATTAGGTAACGGTAAAGGTTCCCCTCGCACATACGTGCTAGACGTTTCCGGCTCTAGGGGGCGGTGCTCATCTCTATTAAAATGCCAAAGAACCAGCGCTGTCCAAAGACGTCTCCATGGTCATGTGGCCGGCATGACTAAACGCCGAAGGCGCATGGAACGCTGTTACCTTCTCACCAAAGGTGGTCCCTATTTTTCTACTTGCATTTTTATGTGCTTTTGAACTGCTGGGTTGGCAGAAGCTGGGACAAGTAACAGGAGCTCACTCCATTACACGGCGCTAGGGATTCGAACCACCAACCTTTCTGATCGACAAGCTCAGCGTCTTTAGCCACTGAGCCACTGCATCCCATATTATTAACATTAATCATATCAATATGAATTGTATTAATATTAATCATAGCTAAATGATATTAAATTCAGACTACATTTTAACACCAACTAAACCCCACGGCCGCCACCCCCAAATGTTTTAGAAACAGTCCCAGAGTTGCACTCGAGCCATTTCATAGCAAGGAAACAAATAAGAAACAATTTTAAAAATTGTTTAAAAGGTCCAAACACTTAACGTTTTGTAGAGTTTTATTTTCCCTGGGGGAAAAAAAACCTGCCTTGTCTACTATAGCCGTTTAAGAAAAAAGCTGAGCCCATTGATTTTCAACCAGTCCCATGACACCTTAGATAGCCAGAAGTCAGTTCTTCTTAACGGAGTGACAGTATGTTCTCTAACAAATTCCGCACAGGTGTCGAACCTACGTGACAAGAAGTCAATGAGCAGTTCCAGTAAACCATATTGTTCCTTGAAGAAGGTCACCGTGTCTATTGCCAGATTCTGAATTAAAAGAACTTTGCCGGAATGGAACAGCATCCCTGAGGCTACCAGGCTGATTTGATAACCATGGTAGCAATTTACGGACCTCATACAATATAAAGTTAATACACTTTACCCAGCATAATATACAATTAGGACAGTTTAACCCTACTAATAACATACACTGACTGTATGTGAGGCTGCATCTGGCAAATTAAAATGCCTGCCTCGGGAGCATAGTTACAATTGCAATACACATCCAGAGGGTCACAACAGATAAGCTTCAAGCTGATTTATTCTAAGGCAACAACTATAAAAACAAAATTCAGACAATGCAGAGGAAGGCAATATCACAAATGTAGGATGCTCTTGTATAATACATATATAGATGATTACTTACAAAAATACCACTTTTATATCAGCCATAAAATGCCACTTAAAGTAAATTAGTTTCTAAAGAAGAATGTTGTTCTACATACCATTAAGACCAAAATGCAAACACAGTAATTTATTTTTCTTTAACAGCAAAAAAAAAAAAAAAGTGCGCAAGCATAGGAAAAAGTTACAGAGGCGTAAATAAAATTAACAACAAAGGAAAACAGACACTGGGGAAGGAAGGAGTGAGAAGTACTGAAATTGTAGTGAGGAAGTTTGCTTAAGGAAGCACTAAAAGGTTAAAGAAACCACTTTTTAAAAGTAAATGTCAAACCCATCTCAGTGGTAGTGTTAGTGATTAAAAGGAGGATATTTCACGTTCTTGTTCATTTTACGAGAATGAACGAGAAAGCGAATATCCACAGACAGGAAGAATTACCCAAGTGAAAATCAACAGAAATATAGTGTAATTACCTCAAATCAATTTAATCCCTTCATACATCTCACTGAATATTAAATATTCTATTGTGTTTCCCTGAAAATAAGATCCTCTCTTATATTTTTTTTGCCACCAAAAAAGGCACCAGGTCTTATTTTCGAGGGATGCCCTCAACTGACTAACCTCACTTGTGTGCGTTGCCCCTAGCCTCCTTTTTGCTATCAGAGGCCTTCGGGAACTTCTTGTTCTGAGACTGGCAAGGCTTTCCCGAAGGCCTCTGCAGCCAATAGGATCGATCCAGAGCTTTATTATCAGCTATAGAGGCCTTCAGGAAAGCCTTACCAGTCTTGCTGGCTGCAGAATGGGCCAGCAAGGCAGTGATGGGATGTGCGAGGCCTGGCTACACCTGTCCAAAGGTAAGTAGTAGGACAGCTCCACCCTCTCATCTCCAACCTAGCTTAATTTTTACCCATGCACTCTGGAGTGGGTTAATTAGGGCTTATTTTGGGCACAGGTGTAAAAATCAAGCTAGGACTTACTTTCAGGGTAGTTCGCATTTTCAGGGAAACAGCGTATAGGAGGCATCTCCCCCCCCCCACACACACACTTAATAGAAGAACTATAGGTAACGTTAACAGTTTTAACATGAATGGAAAGGTCAATCTAAGGTACCCATTTGGTTTAAGGAAGGTGGCATCGTCTCATTAGGTCCATCATTGAGTGTTCGTTCTCATGTACTGCTAAGTTTATTAGCTACTGGCAATCGGCAATGTGATTGCTCTTCTAATCTTTCCACATAGCTGTTTGAACATTTCAAATCCTGGTATTAGCTATGAAGCTACAGCTGAGATAGCGACAGAGATTTATCTCTTTTTTAGATTTTTTTTAAAATTCTGGCTTTATTATTTTTCTAAATAACTCAAGGGGGTGAACATACCTAATACTCCTCACTCTTCTTTTCCCAACAACAATATCAACTCTGTTAGGTTGGTTGGGCGAGAGAGAGGGACTGGCCCAAAGTCACTCCAGGCTTTCATGTTTAAGGTGGAGCTAATGCTCACCACCTCCTGGTGATTGGCCCAAAGTCACCCAGCCAGCTTTCATACCCAAGGCAAGACTAGAACTTACCATCTCCTGGTTTCTAGTCTGGTGCCTTCACTACTACACAAACTCACTAATAACTAGTAGATGCTAAGCCATGTATTTTCACATTATTGTTCAAGCCACAAAGGTAAATTAAGCAGTAGCGTTTCTGTATTATTCCCTCAATAATGTGGGTCAATTTAATTTATCTACATATTTTATACATCATAGTTTTTTATGATTTGTTTTCTTATTAATAAAAAAGAGAAAGAAAAGCAAATCACAAAAATAATGGTGGAGGCTGATATATTATCACAAAAAAGGGGAGAAAATCACATGAAGAATGTTTTAAAGAACGAAGTACAAAAAAATACGACAAAGATAAAACATAGCATGACATGTCATTGTCACAATAAATAGCTACAGTTCAAAAATAGCATTTTGTGGGAGATATAATAAGGATTGTACTTCTATAAAACGTATGTTTCTACAATGTCCTATACCAGCGTTGGTGAACCTTTTTGGCACCAAATGCTGAAATGGGAGCATGCGTGTGTGTGCTGTAAACCAGAAGAGCAGCTACCCGGTATACATGCATGCGCCGGGTGGCTGCTCTTCCGGTTTCTGGTGCGCGCATTCCCATCAGCCACCTGCTCCTCGCACACGCATGCGTGCCAGAAACCAGAAGACCAGGTGGCCAGCGCACATGCATATGCCAGAAATCAGAAGGTCATCCTCCCGGTGCACGCATGCACACTGGGTGGCAGATCTTCTGGTTTCTGGCGATCCCAAAGGGCGATGGCTCACAGGCCTGGAGAGATGGCTCTGTGTGCCACTTCTGGCATGCGTGGCATAGGGTTTGCCATCACAGTCCTATACCTACTGAGGCTAAATGTTAGGGGAAAACAGTACATGGATTTTGACAACCGGACAACATGAATGGATTCTCCATGTCTATGCCCTTTCTATGGCTGAAAAATAGAGGCTGAAGCAGAGAGCAGTTAAATACACTGACAATCAGACTGGGCTTGTCATTTACAAGCAAATTGTCTACAGACATAAACTTTGCATAGGGAAGTGTATTGAAACCTGGAACACTTAAACAGGATGACAGTAGGTTTTTTTTTTAAAGATGAGAAAAATGTACTGTACATACAGTATTTGAATAAAATTTGCATTATAGCTCTTTTTTTTTTTTTAAACATAGAGAAGGCTTACATTCTCAAGGTATTTCTGCCTGATCTGCTAAATCTTGTCTCTTTTAACACTATAATGAGAACTAATTTGCTGGTGACTGACGCTATTGAAAATCGTTGAGCGTTCATAAGATGCGTTGGCTAAACAATCTCTATTTTAAAAACATATATATATTTAATCCAGAAGTGGGATGTTACCGGTTCGGCCCGGTTCTATAGAACCGGTAGCTCTGAAGAGAAGCAGACACCGAACCAGTTTGGTGTCTGCTGCTCTGTTTGGCCTATTCGCCCACCCGGGGTTCTTGGGTGTCCTTTATTTCCTGTTTTTTTCAGCCTCAGTTGCTTTGCATGGCACAGCTGAAGTTGAAAAAGCAGGAAAAAAGAAGAGTTTGAAATGTTTGCCTGGTTTTGGGCAAAAGTTGCTCTTTTTTTAATAAAAAATTCAATATTTACATAAATATTTATAATATTTACATACAAGCCACGCCCAGCCGGTCACATGACCACCGAGCCACACCCACAAATTAGGCCACACCCAGAGAACCAGTTGTTAAGAAATTTGAATCCCACCCCTGATGAACATGGCATCACTATCGCAAACCAACTAAAGCCATCTAAAGCATCCTAAGTAAACCGAAAGACTCAGCATCCCCAGAAGGAAAACAAACAAACAAACAAACAAACAAACAAACAAACAAGAGTCATCTACAAAATACCCTGCATGGATTATACCAGCCACCATGTAGGACAAAACAGGCAGAAGACATAATGAAAGCTCCTTCACAACACAGAGACAGGCTTAACTATAGTTTCAACTGGGAAACTGCGAGCACCTACACCGGGGTCACCAACCTTTTGGACCTCAGGGACCACCAAACTCATAATTTTAAATCCCGCGGACCACTAATATGAATTTTGACTGACGGTGGCTTGCTGATGTTTTCCCAGGGTCTCTGCAGAAAGCAGCAGAGACCCTGGGAAAATCCCCCAAAAAGATTGCAGGAAAATTTCCTACCAATCATTCCTTATTTGAGTTCGCAGGATACCGTCTCCAGCTCCATTCTCAGGGGGAGAGAAAGAGAGAGAGAGAGAGAGACTTTTGGCTTCATGCAAAGAAAGCAGCAGAAGCAGCAGAAATCTTTCTTTCTCTCCCCCAAACTCCGCCAGAAATGAGCCTTCGTGAGACTTGTTGCGCTGACGCAGCCTCTTGGAGCAGGATGCCTTGCAGGATCCCAAAGATTCATTTGTGGCGGAATTTGTGGGAGAGAAAGAAAGACTTTTGCTGCTTTCCTTGTGTGCGGCCAAAAGCAAAAGAAAGAAGCGGAAAGAAGCAGCTTGGTGGCCAAGCACTCACGTAGGGTGCCTGGGGCAAGTTCCCCACCCCCTCCACCCTTTCCCCCCTCTGGTCACTACCTTGTGTTGTTTGCAATGCAAGCGACACAAGCCTTGGGTTCCCGCAGGCCATGTGGCCTTGTGTCCCCACGCAGCCTGAATTAATTGCTTTGGGGGTGACATTTCTCTTCAAACCACCAAAATTTTCTCACGGACCACCAGTGGTCCCTGACTCACTGGTTGGCAACCACTGTCCTAGACCAAAGCAAGTCCAAAATTGCTAGGGAATTCTTGGAAGCTGGGCCCTCAAAGCACAAACACAGAGACTATAAATCTATGTATAAATCCTTCCATTCCCCCATCGTCCAGTCTGAGCCGAAGGAAGTTTCTTAGATGAGAAGCGAAACATCTTCAAAGAAAAAGGGGAAAAAAAACACACACCAGAAAGTCCAGTTGCCTCTTGAAAAAGCACCTTTGAGACAACCGTGACCTGGATGACAGAGAATCTCCATAGAGAACACAAACTTCTTCTGGATGAAAAGCAATTATCTCACAGGTAAGAACCTATGATGCTCTTTGCATTTGGGGCATGCTGTACTCACTCGCCCTTGCTCTAGAGGTTGGGGCAGTGGTGGGATTCAAATATTGTTGCTACCAGTTCAGTGGGTGTGGCTTGATGGGCGCGCTTTGCACGCGTGCACACACTTAGCGTGCCTGCGCGCGCCAAACTCACACTTTGCGCAGGCACAGAGGTGTTCTAACTTGCCTCCTGCAAGCCTGCACGATCCTGCTCGCTTCAGCACCTGCCGCGAAGCGCTATTCTGTGCCGCGCAAAGCAGCTGTGCTTCAAATTCAGTGGATAAAGGTGAGTACGGGACCCAGGTGGGCAGGTGGGCCCAACAGCAGAGCCATTAGAGCAGCGGAGAGAATCGGTTCAGTCTCTGCTGCTCATCGCTACTACCGGCTCTCCAGAACCGGGCAGAACCGGTCGAATACCACCACTGAGTTGGGGTAAAGGACCAGGTAACTATGGGTAACTATGGGTAACTATGGACCAGGTAAGCTTTGAGTAACTATGCAAACCATTCTGCCAAACAAGACATGCATCAAGATATTCCAATGCATTTTTAAAAATGCCGTGATTTTAATCTCCTAATTCTGTACATATAAAAGCAAAGGGGGAAAAAGAACACAAATAAATGTATATAATATTTACATACAAGCCACGCAAATAAAAAAATACTATTCCAGTGCACTTCTTAAAATAACTTGATTTTAATCTCCTAGGTCTGTACATCTCTATCCATAAAAAGCAAACAATAAATACGACATTTGAAATTAGAGAGCAAGAGGATAAACAATTTTATAAAATTTGGGACCTTTTCTACCAATGGTTGGATGATAAAATACAATAATAGAATATTTAGAATGTTAGATAATAAGGAATATCTTGGTTTTTTCTTTTTCTTTTGTTATTTGACATCATATCTATAAAGTGTTTTTTAGGATAGATTTGGTATGATTATATGATTTGCTGTAGAATAAACTACCTAAATTATAGTTATCTCATAAAGTATGAATGAATAAAATCATAGTCAAATGATTTTTTAATAATGATATGAGGATATATAAGTTTGGATTGATAATACGAGTTATTATGTAATATAACTGTAATTGAGACTACGAAATGAATGCACAAAACTGATGAACCAACCGACACACTGCTTGTATATATGTATGGAAGAGAGCTGATGTTTTTATGCTTTGTTTGTTTTGTTTGTTTTTAAAAAAACCAATAAAATTGTTTTTTTAAAAAAAGCAAACAATAAATAAATAAAAACAAATACCACGAGGTGTACTGAGGGAGAAGGAGGTTTGTCCATCCAACAAGCAGCTTATCGTGGGAGGGGGAAATTATTATTCATCTCATTTTAAAGGGATTATAAGGAAGGGATCTCCTTAACAGAAAGAAGAACGAGGCAGCATACTTACAACATTTGTTGCTTTAGTTTGTTTTTTGGCCGTCCAATTGGTTTTGCGTAGCGTCGCCTTATCTGGGAAGCTCGCTCGTGAAGCAATTTCCTTCCTTTTTTCTTTGGTCTGCAGACTTGACAAACCCACATACCTGTATACAATATGAAACATGGAGCTGATTAATTCTGCTACCCTTGTGATGACCCAAAGGGGCGTGGCACAAAGGCAACACAGTCCAATAAGCAATAAGAGTCCCTTTATTATCTCCAACTTTGCCCCCAATGTCCAGGTTACCTTCGGCTGGAGAAAAAACTCTCCCAGGAATAGCCTTTGACTGCAGAAGATTAAGTCCAAAACATGGTCAACACAAACTATAACTTAAAATCCAAACAACCCAAATTGAAGTAATTAGCTTGACAGGGAAGGAGGAGGAATTTCAGACTCAAAAGCACAGCAAAACTCACACAGCTGGGACAGATAAGCCACAACGATACAAGATAAGTTCACGTTTGCTCCCAACAGTTTGCTGCGCGCAGCTTCCTTTTTTTTATACACTGTGTTCCCAGCTGCAGCTAATGAAGGGAATCAGGACCCTTTCCTCCCCATAAGCCAAGCAATCCACATTGCTCTCTTCTCCATTCCTCCCTGCGTGCCCTAGGATAAAAAGGGGATGGGCTTGGGTCTTCCTCTGAATTCCCTCTGCCTTGCTCTACCTCTCTCCTGCTCTGCCCAGCAGGTTTTGCCCTTCCCCAGTTTCTTCCACAGCCAATGGAGCCACACTCCCAGTCCCTGTCAGCTGTCCCCGTCCTAGTCAGATTCCGACAGGGGCATGACAAGCCCTTCACCTTCATCATAGTTTTCCAAGTCAACTGATTGTTGAGAGACAATAGTCAGCTCCAATGAGCCTCTTGCATCAAGTAAAACCCAAATGCCTTGACATAAAGAGGAACATATGACAGCAAGGTTCACCTATTCATACCATGCAGGTGAATGGGCTATCCATGCCTTTCAAGCTGGGTATGAAAAGACATACTGGTAGGTATCAACATCCAACAGTAGTATCTAGATTTCTTTTCAGTCATGAAAAAAGACAGCAGAGATTACTCTTTTTCAAAAGAAAATGTTTTTGGAAGTTCTGTTTACAGATTTCAATATTCGTAGCTCAGGGCTGAACTCTGGGATCCTTCGTGCTCTCGGAGTTTGGTTGTTTTCTTACAGATTATACTACCCAAAGTAGGTAAAGATCACCGTGCTAGAAAGGAGAAGCTCTCTCCACTCTCCGCTCACCTGAGTGTTGCTCACTTGTGAGGAAGTATTTGGGCCTTTTTGTTTCCTGTTGGCTCTTTTTAATGATATGTAGATGTTGTTTATCTTATGTGCCCGTTGATGTCTGATTTGTATTGAGTTGCTCAGCTTCTAAGAATCCCTAGCATTTTTGGACTTGGTTTGATCTAGGATGCTCAGAGTTTCCCAATTAAAACTATGGTTAAGTCTGTTCACGTGTAGTGAAATGAAGATGTTTTCATCATGTCTTCTGCCAGTCTTCCTCCTGTTTTGTCCTACATGGTGGCTGTTACAGTCCATGCACTGTATTTTGTAGAGGAGTCCTGTTTTTTTTCTTCTTTCTTCTTCTGGGGCAGCTGGATCTTTAGATTTACTTAGGATGTTTTGGATAGCTTTAGCTGGTTTGTATGCTATAGTGATGCCTTATTCATAGATTAAATACACACACACATACATACACACACACACAAACACACATCTTTATAATAGAAAGTGTTTAGCCTTTGTATCTTATGAACTCTCAGTGATTTTCAATATTTTATGGTAAACAATCATCATAAATTAGGTTTAGTGCAGAGGATAAACTTCTATTTTAAACAACTCCCAGACAATTTTATTCTTTCCTTTAGACTATATTTTGGGGGCATGTTCCCTATCTTTCACTCCAAGTATTTATCACCTGGGACAGGGACTTGCTATTATCTGTCAGGTGCTTTTACTAAAATAACAAAGATGCTTCGTGATGGATTTTGATGGAACCAGGTTATGTTTTCATAGCCAAACTGCTGAATGGATAGGATAGCAGGACATAAATTGCTTGGAACCATGAACTGAAACTCAGGATTCTTCAACTATCACATTTTTTGAGAAATGTGGAAGGTTGTACTTTTTCACACAACCCTAAGACAGCAGAAATATATTTATTCAACCTGAAGGTGATGCAAAAATCCATGCAGGTGTGGACTAAAACTCATCTCTCCTCTCTTAACAAATAGTAGAAAATATTTTTTCTATCAATAAGGCCCTGAATGGAAAGCAGCCCCCTCCTTCCTCAAAATCTTCCTCAGTTTGTGAAGAAAAGTTCACACACACACAAGTACAAACACTTCTATCACAACCTATTCCTCTTTCTGTAGTACACATGAATAGGATACTTGACATTCCAATTTCTTTTTTTATTACAAGGTATATCTTCTGTGTAAGGTAAACGTTCCCCTCACACACACATGCTAGTCGTTTCCAGCTCTAGGGGGCGGTGCTCATCTCCGTTACAAAGCCAAAGAGCCAGTGCTGTCCGAAGATGTCTCCATGGTCATGTGGCCGGCAGGACGAAACGCTGAATGCACACGGAACGCTGTTACCTTCCTACCAAAGATGGTTCCTATTTTTCAATGTGCATTTTTACATGCTTTCGAACAGCTAGACTGGTAGAAGCTGGGACAAGTAACGGGGAGCTTACTCCCTTACACGGCGCTAGGGATTCGAACTGCCGACCTTTCTGATCAACAAGCTCATCGTTTTAGCCACCGCATCCCCTATCCTCTGTGTAGGAAACCCCAAATACAATTTTTCATTGTCAATCAACAAAAATGGTCAATAAGACACAACCATCCCCACTGTCCAGTCCCTTTGTCCCTTCCTTCCTCTCCTTTTAGGTGCTTTCATGATTCCTGGTGGATGGAACGGAGCAGAAAGAGAAGCAGCGCTTGAGCTGTTGTTAAAGAAGGGAAAACAGGCAGAACCCTGGAAATCAGCATCTTCCAAACAGCTCAGCAAAGGATGGATTTTGCTCAGCCCTGGGGGACTAGCAGACACAAAAAGGGAAAAGGCCGGCTGAGACCCAAAGTCTGCTTTACGGGAGAAAACAGCAAGGGAAGACAACAGTATAATCTCAACCAGGGGTGGGCTGCTATGGGTTCACACGGATTCGGGCAATTCTCTAGCTAAGATTCTGCGCAGTTTGGCAAACCGGTAAATCCCACCCTGGCTGGCTCTGCCCACCCCTCCCCGCCCCTCCCAAGAGTCCCCACGCGACCCAGGTTTTGGATGCCAGGTTAGTATGGGGCCCACACAGAGGCTCAGGGAGGGTGAAAAGTGGGTCTCCTGGAGGCTCCAGAAGTCTGGAAACAGGCCAGTTTCAAGCCCCCAAAGGGTCTCTGGAGCCCAGGGGAGGCCGTTTTCACCCTTCCAGAGGCTCGAGGAAAGCCTCCAGAGTCTGGGGGACGGCGAAACATGGGCCTCCCAGAAGTTCCCAAAGGCCAGAAATGAGCCTGTTTCCGGCCTCTGGAGGGCCTCCGAAGCTTGAGGGAGGCCATTTTCACCCTCCTGGAGATTCGAGGAAACCCTCTGGAGCCCAGGGAGGGCAAAAACGGCCTCCTTGCCCCCCCAGCAACCAGGCAGAGAACCACTTGCCGAAATTTTTGAAGCCCATCCCTGGTCTCAACTTGACAGCTAGTCATTTAATGTCTGTTCAAAGTTACAACGGCCCTAGAAAAAGTGACTTGTGGCCATTTTTCTCACTTACAACAACTGCAACATCCCCATGGCCACATGATCGAAATTGACAACTAGCTTGTATTTATGACAATTGTTCTGTGGGGGTCACGCATTCCCCTCTTGTGACCTTCTCACAATGGGGGAGCTGTTGTGGTTCGCCGGCAGCAGGTGTGGATGGCTGAGGTCTCAGAGAGTGAGGACTCGGGTGTGGGGCCTGCGTGTGATGCAGGGATGGGGCCAGGACTATCGGAGAGAGTGGTGCTGCCTTCAGAGATTGTGGAGGCTGGCAGCAGTGATGAAGAGGCCCCCGAGGAGCCTGTGCCCAGTGCGCTGGCGTGCAGGGCTGCTCGAAGGAAAGAGAAGCTGCAGCAACATGGGCAACTCAGAGTAAGGCTGCAAGGTGATGGCCCCTCCCTTAAGGGATAAAAGCCAGCCCTCAGAGGTGGGATTCTTTGCAGGAAGCAAAGAAGGTCTTGCACTTCAAGTCCTCATGGAAGTTCGGTCTATCTTGGTTTGTTTTTGGAGACTTTTGGTTTTGAATATTTCCTTGAACTTAATCTTGTGTTCTCGGCAGTCTCGCTCAACCTTGACAGGGCTTGCTCTTATCTGGGACAATTAGTTTTAACAGCACTTTGCTGTGAATGAACAGAATTTACAGAGACACATTAAAAAGAACAGGAGATAAATTCACTTAACAACCATGTTACCACCGTAACAACCACGGGGATTCACTAAACAGTGTTGTTTAACGTTGGCCTTCTGCGTTCTGAGTCCAGAAATGGAAATTTGAAAGATATAATTACCGTATTTCCCCATGTATAAGCACCCCCTTTGTATAAGCCACCCCCCCAATTTTTGGACTGTGAAGTTTTGAAAAAAATATTTTATTAGAGAAACAAGTTATGAAGAAAGAAAATTTACAAAGAAACAAAATTCGACGTCTAGATCTACAACTTCGGTCATGACGCCGAAAGCGGTGCGGGCGACGCTAGCAATCTACGCATCGGAACGAGAGTAGGAACGAAGCATTCAGGCCGATGCCTAGCGTATGCATTTCTATCACGTACTCGCACTCGTAATCGTATCATCACGTACAATTTTTACAAAAAAGTATAGCATACTGCTGGAAAACCAGTTTATTCCTACTTTATTATTTTATGCATTTTTCACGTATAAAAAGTGTACCTGCTTTGTATATGCCACCCCCCTACTTTTTGGGCTTGAAAATTTTGGAAAAAAGGGGTGGCTTATACATGGGGAAATACGGTATGTAATGTAACATGGATGGGACTTTTGTTGATGATGAGTTTGCTGTCCGCCCCAGCACCACCACCAGCTAAAAAATATATTATTCTCTTCTTTAAATACCCGCTGTTACTCTTTGGGATGATATGCTCGATGCCCAATTTTTAAGTGGTTTTTTTTTCTTTTCTTTTCCAGCAGTTGCTTTCTCTATAACAACTTTTGTTCACTCATCTTAAAAGTAGCCTGACTGTTTCTAACCACGAACTCCTATCCTACTCATTTTCTTAATTTTTCAGTTCAGTTTCCTTTTTCCAAACCTGAGCTTGAGTAAGAAAATTAGAAGAAGCTTAGATACTTTTAAAAGGGATAACATTATTTGCAGGTGGTCCTTGACATATAACCATTCATTTAATGACCATTCAAAGTTTCAATGGCTCTGAGAAAAGTGTTTCTCCCACTTATGACCATTGTAGCTTCCCTCATGGCCACATGATTAAAATTCAGGCACTCGGCAACCGGCTCGTATTTATGACGAGCGTCATAACTCATGGCTGTTCCAGGGTCATGTCATCATTGCCCTTTATGATACCCCCAGCTGGCTTCCAACAGGGAAAGTGAATGTGGAAAGCCAAGTTCTCTTCACACCCTCATGATTTCACCGCACACAACTGGGGTAACCTGTTTTTAGCAATTGTGACGAGAAAGGTCATAAATGGGACCCAGCTCACTTAACAACTGTCTTGCTGAGCCACAGAAATTTGGGACTTTCCGCTGTGGTTGTAAGTCAAGGACTACACTGTACCTGTACTGACATAAGTGATAAGATTATACCGTAGTTGAGTATAGAGCCAGAGTGTAGACAATAAAACAATACATTATGAATAGCTTTTATTTGTGTTTGTTTGTTTGGTTTATTTTTATAGCTGCTCAACTCAATCAACGTCTCAAGAACTGGCTAGAAAGAATAAAACAGCATAACAAAATAAGGTTAGTTCTTGCAGATGAAAAAAAAAAGCAAAATAAATTCATTTAATGTACAGAATAGTATGAAAACATGGCTTAAGATAACAGCCCTAGTTGGAGAGGATACACAGAGAGGATACATACTACTCATGGTCTGTGTTATAGAGAAATCTTTAGTCAGATGTGTATAGTGCAATAAATCCTCCTTGAAGGCAAGATAAGTTGTTCATTTTTAACAGCTATTTTTAGTCTGAGCTTTTGATTAATTATCCAGCTGAAAGTATGAGAAAGGAGCAGCAAAGGAGACTTCGCCATTAAAAAAAAAAAGTCTTTCCCAGTGCTGAAATAAACCGCATGAAATCAAAATATAACCCACCTTGTCAGCAGTAAAAGGCTGAACAGATTATTATCATGTAAGTTTAAAGGTAGAGCAAGCAAATTATAACACATTTTTCTTCTTTTGCAAAAATGGAAAGTATTCCTTTGCAATTTAAAACCCCAAGTACCGTTAATTTTATAAAACGTTAAGGTAGAAAAGAGCTTCATCCCTAAGAAACTGTGGCAAAGAGACCCCTAGATCAGTGATGGCTAACCTTTTCAGATTGGTGTGTCGAAAATCGGGAAAAAGTGTAGCCTTCCTCGGGTCGTGTGGCACTTCAAGAAATATCAATAATTTGGTTTATGACGGACTGGGCTGGGGTGATCACACAGGGCTGTGAAACTCATCTCCCTGGTCTCAGGGCTGTAGGTGCAGGATGTGGGGATCGGAAGGCCACCTTACAGGGCTGTGAACCTCATGGATCTCCTTTCCTCCTGTAGCGTTCCTGAGGTAATGAACTGACAAACCTCAGTTTATGGCGGTTAAAACTGGTTCTCTGCTGCAAAGATCTTGCGGCAGCGGTGACACCACGCCTCCACACAACAAGCAGGGAGCAGGGATTGGAGCAGAGCACAGGCAGCCTCTAAATGTGCAGGTTTTCCCCACACCAACAGGCGTGTCAGTCAAAGTGCCTCGGCATGTCACGAGTGACACGTGTGTCATAGGTTAGCCATCACTGCCCTAGATCCTTCCTTCACCAGGGAAGCCATTCTAATTGACCTTTCAACTATAATTAATCAAGCTTATGTTTAACAGGTCAGTTGTAGGTGGTACAATGGATATTCCCTTAATTAACCACACTGAAGTTTCATCCCAATTCTAGAAGCAGACATGAAGCAAGTTTCCAGATTGTATTCTAGGCAGAATGAGGAAGAAAAAATTGTGCAGTGAAGCTAAGCGGGGTTAGTCTCATCCATGTCTCATTGAGCATTACGTAGCATATCATCAAAACATCGACCAAGACCCTTCAAAAGGAGGTTTTCATGGGACGCCTAAATTTTGAAAGTGTTATGAATGCCATGAGTAAAAGAAAGCAAAAAAGAAAGCTACTTCAAATGTCCAGAATGCTCAATCGTAAGCATACACTGGATTCTACCCTTTTGGGTTTTCCATAAATTGTTCACAGAATCCCTTAGTGACGGCATAAGCGAACGAAACCTGGAGGCATTACAGATGCAAAGCTCACCTTTTGGCATTCGAGAGAGTGGAGGGTCACAGCACTCCATGTGGAAACCTCTATCACAAGAGTCACAGAAAAGCATATTATCCTGAAAGAGAGAAAAGGGGAAAAAATAAATAAAGGGAATCTCAAAAAAAAACACCCCAAAATGGTATTGTCACGACTAAAAGCTCTTGCTAAATTATCGGTTGGGCTACCTGGCTAGTTCTCATTCCTGTCATTCTCTTCATGTAAATATTTTAGAACAGAATATAGAATCGAGGGCAGTGGTGGCTAACCTTTTTGGGCTCCTGTGCCAAAAATTGTGCACGCGCTTGCACGCTCGCGCTCACATGCCAGCACCCAGAAAGCAATGCAAGCCCGCCTCCCACCCCGTGCACATGTGGGTGCAATCCACACACACGCTGCCCCCTTACCTGCACTGCACCTCACAGCTGATTTTCGGCCGGTTTGAGGTTTTTTTCAGCCTCCCAGTGGCTTGAGGAAGGCTTCTGCAGGCTTCTGCAGGCTTTGCAGGCCAAAAACTAGCTCCGTTTTGTCACTTCCAGTATTTTCAGAAAAACAGGAAGTGAAGAAATGGAGCTAGTTTTCAGCCTGCAAAGCCTGCAGAAGCCTTCCTCAAGCCTTTGGGAGGCCTAAAAAGGCCTCAAACCCACTGAAAATCAGCTGTGAGGCACGCGCATGTGCAGTGAGGTAAGTTTGTCCGCAGCTCGCATGCCGACACAAATGAATCTGTGTGCCACCTGTGGCACGCCTGCCATAGGTTCGCCATCACGGCTATAGGGTACTCCTTATTGGCCAAGTATGATTGGACACACCAGGAATTTGTCTCTGACGCATTAAATATTTCTATAAATATTTCATGTTGTCACAATTTTATTATAAATTAATACTGAGGCCAGTCCTGATCATAGTTATAGGAAGGGCAATATATAAATATCTGAAATACAAGCAGTATACATTCTAATGTTAGTAGGAAATACTAATAATTATGTATTAGTCCTATATAAGCCAAGTGAGTATTGTGTAAAATATTACTATATAAAATAATATAAATTATATAATTATATATTGTATAATATAAATATAATATAAAATATTATTTACAGCATTTTTGCCTTGGATTCTGCAGGCACTGCATGTCTTGCATTCGATACATTGCCATCTTAAGGCCTTCACGTTTGTTGTTAACTCCAAACAAAATTTAAGACAGGATGGATGCCCTATGAAACAACCAAGAATGAGAGCATTTATTTTAGCGTTCTGTTAACGACAGAAACTCTAGGACAAGAGGTCCTCAACTTACAATCTTAACTGAGCTCAGAATTATGACTGTTAAGGCATTGAGGCTGCACCATGAGACTGGATCTGATTCCACCCCACTAAATTTTTCATGATCATTAAGCGAAAATCACAGTTGTTAAGCTGATCGATTTTCCAATATCCTTTTTATTTTATTTTTTGCCCAAAACTGGAAATAAATGCAGGAAACTGAAAAAAAAGTTACAGTCACTTCTGGGGGCTCTGTCATCAAACTTTTTAAAGCAATTGGTTCTAAATTAAGGACTATCTTATATTTTCTTAAACTGTATCAGTACTGACCGCTATTGTTTATTCTCACTCAGGGACAAGATTAAGGATGTTTGCTTAAAATATTGTATTATAGATCCAAGATGGGTCCTGCTAATTTGAATGCAGAGCCCACAAACAGGTGTAACCCATATATTAAAACTACAGTTGCTCTGAAATACATTTTTCTTCACTTAAATCTATTCTCACCACACTAAGCAACTGAGTACCATGCGTTCACATTTTAGTTTGCTGGATCATGCAGTTCTGTTTATAATATTACAATCTTTTGATGAAAGCGACAGACACAAAGGAAGACTGACACCGTTGAAGAACAGGTCATTGTATTATTTCTGAAGAACAGACAAACTGCAGCGACAAAGGTTTGGGTGTGTGATTGTGGTTAGACACATTGTGCAAAGACTGTAAAAACCGTGAGTGATACATATTTTTCCAATCCTTTATGCATTCTTGCCTGGGCCAACGTATCTTCTACATAGAGGGTTTAGGAAATGGAACAACATAAAACCCTAGAATAAATAAAGTGATTTGCCCAAAATTACCCTCACCATCCAAAATATTACTTATCAAGAGAGGCAACAGGTAAATGAATTAATCTTTTGAGTAATTCCAAGCATACAGTGTAAGTGTTTTTGAGACTTATCATTATACCAAAGAGAGGCTACGCGTGCCATTTTCTGAACATATGGGCAAGTTACAAAAACCATATGGAGTAAGGAGTAAAATAGTGGTTGTAATCATTACTTCTTACTGAGGTCTTACTGAACTTCATATTCTGTCGGCAACTCTAAAAAGACCATAGAAATATTTTATGAGTTGACATCAGGTTAGACGGGCAGCTGCCGATGACACTTTCAACTCTTTATTTTTAAAAGACTAAAACTGAAAGCAGGCATTCCAAAACGCTAACGTTTTGCTCTGTGGATGGAAAGAACATCAGAGACAATGACAATCATGGAAGAAAACTTTCTAACTTACGCCCTTCCTGGACACGAAGTTCTCCTTCCGTTGACGGGAGCATCTCAGAGAAGCTTCAATTTGGAAAAATATACATGCCTCATTTGAGCCAGGCTGAATGACTTACCACTGCTACCACAGTCTGCGCACGATAGAAGTCCTTCTGGCTTTTTCTCACGGTTTGATTCTTTTGTCCCCAAACAGAAGCTACATATGGGAATGGGATCAGCCCGAGGCTATGGAAAGAATGGTCAAATTAACAGTTAGTTCTCTTCCAAAGAACGTTTTCCTTTTTTCTTGACCTCAGTATGTTAAGAAGTTGGACTGGATCCCGTTTTTATTAGCAGAAACAAACATTTTCCCTTTTATAATTTCGTATGTTTGAATACTTTTAATTCTTGCTTCCAGGACATTATTCATTACTACCAACTAGTTAAATAAATTTGCCAAAATTTAGAATTATTCTTTATATGATCTAGACCAGGGGTCTTTCAAGCTTGACAGCTTTATGACTTGTGGACTTCAACTCCCAGAATTCCTCCTCCAGTCACGTTAGCTCGGGAATTCTGGGAGTTGAAGTCTTAATTAAACTTGCCAAGTTTGAAGACTCTTGATCTAGACCCTCATGGGTATTATGAAACAGGATTAGGTATTTCCAGCTTATGAAAGGAAGTATCTTGGATGCATGAAAAACCAGTTCCATTCTTCCACAGCTAAAAAAGAAAATCAACATATAAGAAATAGTTCATAGTTATCAAAAGCTACGGATGAAACGCTCAACTTATATCCTGCCCAGATTCACTGGAACAGGTACTGTATTAATACTGGCGTGTGCATAGGTCACAATTCAACATACACTTACCTGGGAGTAAATCTTATTTCAACCATTGGAGTTGACACATACTCTTAGTTCAAAGTTTCATTAGGGAACAGGAAGGATTTGAAACATTTGAACTTTGCAAAAGCCTGAATTGCAGGACATGCAAATTGTGGGGATAGAGTTAATTTTTCAATTCAATGTGTTTTCTGTGCAAAACTCCTTGCCTCTAAAGGAAGAGTTGCAATTGTCCCTTTCTTTCATTATATACTCACATAAACAGTGGTGGGATTCAAATTTTTTATTACCGGATCTGTGGGTATAGCAGGGAAAGGATACTGTAAAATCTCCAGTCAGAGGTTGCTGGTTTTCCAAACTACTCAAAATTTCCGCTACCGGTTCTCCAGAACTGGTCAGAACCTGCTGAATACTCACCTCTGATCCCTACTGTTCCTGTGAAAGACAATTTTCTTGTTTATTTCTGGTAGAATTAATAAACAATAGGATTTATGTGGGAATCTGAATAAAGGATAAAGGATATCATACGCCTAAAATAATTTTCAGAATGTTTACAGTTTGATGTTAGCTGGATTTGGCTATTAATTAGTAAATTGAGTAGAAATGTACTTAAAATACATGTTTGCCACCTGTGACTACCGTAAAATGTTTTTACTTAAGTCAATATTCAAAAGCAGTTCATTATGTCTATATCCAGTATTACTAAGGAACTTTATTACCCACTGCTAAAAAGAATATATTTTTCTAAACATCTTTCTTTCTCTTTCTTGACATTATGATTGACTGTTGTGTCTGTTATGGGATCAGCACAACAGTGAAGCATAAATCAAAAACTCCTTAAGCAAAAGGGGTGAAGGACTTGAAGGAAAATGATGCTTTTGGCACTTTCAGAGAAAAAGTAGAAAGGACACTTAAAGAAAAAAAAAGCAAATATTCTATCACATGGAAATCAGAATAATTTCTGATTGAGGAGGCAATCAGGCCATTTATAAGCACAGAATACCATCCATAAAGAATCATATGAGTGATAGATGAAAAACAGCAGACAAATGCAGAAAGGGAAAGAAAGAAAGAAAGAAAGAAAGAAAGAAAGAAAGAAAGAAAGAAAGAAAGAAAGAAAGAAAGAAAGA